CCCCGCCCAAACCTGAATAAGGTCCATGATCTCCACCCTGGACCAAGAAGGTGCCCACCTTCTCCGAGCCCTGGCAGGCTTCTCAGAGCTGGCAGTCTGCTCTGGGGAGCAGTGGCTTGCTGCTCATGTTTTAGGGCCACTGGGTCAGGGGCAGTCTGCTGGCTCTGAGCTGGCAGGCTTGGAGCTGTCACAGGAACTGTGGCCAGGGTCAACCCCTTTAAGGGCTCCGGGGAGGAGGGAGGGAGAGGAGTGTTCTTAGTTGAAGCTGGAGTGGCCACCAGAGCACCCTGGGAAGGCTGGAGGCCCCCTATTTCAATATAAGTGTTTAACAGCACTTATTTTAAAAATAGCTATTTTGAATTTGGCGTTATTCCTCATGGAATGAGGTTTATCAAATTCAAAATAAGCGCTCTGCTATTTCGAATTAATTCAAAATAGCGGTTTGGCTGTGTAGACGCTAGGAAAGTTATTTTGAAATAAGGGCTGTTATTTCGAAATAACTTTGCTGTGTGGACATACCCGGAGTCAGCGAAGTCATGAGCTTCCTAAAATCATGGAAGCTTTGAATCTCAAAGCTTGAAATACAATGACCTTGCTTACAAATGCAGAATTTCTTTTCAGTGCATCTTCTACATTGTTTGCTTCAAAGTGGCTCTTTCAGCAAATGGCACACTCATTCCCTAGGGTATGTCTAAACTACAAAGTTAATTCGAACTAACAGCCGTTAGTTCGAATTAACTTTTATAGTGTCTATACATGCAAACAGCTAGTTCGAACTTAATTCGAACTAGCGGAGCGCTTAATTCGAACAAGGTAAACCTCATTCTACAAGGACTAACACCTAGTTCGAATTAAGTGGTTTGAATTAAGGGCTGTGTAGCCTGCCCCTCCCCAGCTTGCCTTGGTGGCCACTCTGGGCACAACCAGGGAAACTCTTCTGCCCCCCTCCAAGTCCCAGAGCCCTTAAAGAGGCACGGTCTATTCTGGTCAAAAAGCTATCTTCCATGGGAAGCAAAAAGTTTTGTGGGAATGCTTTGGACTAGTGGCTGAGAGCCTTCCTAGCACAAAGAGCTTCTCCAGGGAAAGTGGGAGGAGCCCTCTTGCTTGGGACTTTCAAAATCAGACTGGCCAAAGCATTAGGGGGAAGTAGGGGCGCTGACCCCAAGGGGCAAGGTGCTGGAGGAGGGGTGGCGAGCAGATCGGTGCGTTTCCATCTCCAAGCACGGCGGCGAGAAGAGAGACGCTGGATGCCTCTGGCACAGGGCAAAGTGTATTATGCGTT